CATAGCACACACACACAATAATAACTCATTTAAAAGGATACTTGGCAATATGTCTATCATTTAACCTGGTAATTTTATTTCTCAACATTTATCCTAAGGAGTCATCACACACACACACACACACACACACACACACACACACACACACAAAAGATGAATGAATAAGGATGTTCAGTGCAATATTATTTGCAGTTTTGAAAACTGGAAGGTATACCAGAGCAATGTATGAAGAGTCAGCATGAACTTCTCCAAGGCTAATTGAGCAGGGACATGCTTACTTAGGGCAGTAAGTTAAAAGGCTGATGACAAGGCTATATATATATAATCTTGATTGTTTATGCATAGTAGAAAAGCCTGGCCTGAGAGTCACTATAGTCTTAGCCATGGTGATGCTTGGGGAGAGACAGCACAGCGATTTCAATTTTTTTGCATGTGTTTTCCTGAGTCTAACAAAGTTTCTGCAGTGGAGATGTGTCTCTGTAATTTGAAATGTTTGGGGTTTTAAATTTTCCAACAAACTACACAAAAGGGGAAAGGGTAGAAATCCTAGGGACAGAGAATTGCATCCTGGGTACCAGAAGTCACAGTTAATATCTCATCTGACCATCTTTTGGCCTACTAGGCTCTCTATTCCTGTATTATAAAATAATAAATAAAGCAAATGTAAATTCAGACTCAAAGAGGTGAAGCTATTTGCTCCAGGTCACATAGCCTGTGTGCTCCTGGGAGCATAAACAACATCTACGTGGTTTATCTGTGCCTACAATCCAAGCCCATTACTTCGCACGATATATATATATATATATATATATATATATATATATATATATATATATATACACATACACTCATACTTGATATGGTACTGTATGTGGTGTGTGTGTCTGTGTGTGTGTCTGTGTGTGTGTGTGTGTGTGTGTGTGTGTGTGTGTGTGTGTGTGTGTTGCTATGGATCAAATCCAAGAAATTCTTTTTAGTACTAAAAGACTCAAGGCTGGCCCACAAGCCCTGTATATATCAAAGAGTGAGATGGAGGCATTATTCTGCATCTTGGCACAGCATTGGGCATCTGTTGTTTCAATGTATGTCCACAGAGATCCCTGGAAGATGGGCGAGCCCAGGGCAACCCCGTCACTCTCTTCTAGAGTAAAAACACTGTACTTTGGAGAAAGGGAAGTGAGATCTGGTGTGTGTGATAAGTGAGGCATGGCTTTTCAAGATGCTCACACTCTCTTAATTCAGCCCTTTCTCATATTCCCATATCCTTTATCCCCTGCACCATAAATAGTGAAAACCAGAAGCCATTGCTGTCTTTGAGACCAAAGAGTAAACTCTCAAACAGGGAAACCAATTCGGCTTTAAAGAGAGCATGTAACTGAAACTGGAGGCGTCTGAATGGGGCACAGTCTCCCCCAGGCTGACCTGAGTGGGCTGCAGGGGCCACTGGGCCTTCACTTGAAAAGGCAGATGTCACTGGATCTTCGTACTTGTCTAAACTCCCAGAACTAGGGGGAAGTTCCTGAGAATGACTTGCAGGAGAGAAAGCATTTGGATCTTTCACTTGGTGTAGTACGCTGTGTGTACTCTAATCCGTGTAAGTGCAAAGGACTAGTTAGTAAAGTAACTTTCCACCTGCATTTTGTATCCTCCCCACCCTTCCCATCTCCAGTCTCCTCCCTCGAATCTATACAACATTCTCCCTTGCCTTCCTTAACTCCTTGCATATGTCTATACAAATGAGAAACAAATGTAGAATCCACTTCCTCTCCTTGCTGTGATTTTAAAGGCTTGAATGAGGAACCCAACAGCCTGGATTTTCATCTTTACTCTGTCATTCACTGTGAACTTTTGGCCCATCACTCAACCTCTCTGAGCTTTGCAAAACGGAGCAAAAAGTCTCCCCTGGGTTACTATCTGGGTGATACTGGATGCATATCGATGCGAAGCACCCCAGTTTTATTCATTTTTTAACATTTATTTTATTTATGTGTATGAGCGTTTTGCCTGCACGTATGTTTGTGTACCACTTGCATGCCTGGTGCCCGAGGAAGGGAGAAGAGGGCATCAGATCCCCTTGGAACTGGAGTTGCAGACTGTTGTGAGTGCGAGGAATCAAACCCGGGTTCTTTTCAAGAGCCACAAAGTACTCTTAACCACTGACTTATTTCTCTAGTCCCGCCTCCATTTTATTCTTTCTAAAGACTATTTTATCTCATTTCCTATGATGTGTATGACTAGTTTACCTTCAAATATGTGTGTGAATACACTTGCATGCCTGGTGCCTGTAAGAGTCAGAAGAGGGTGTTGGATCACGTGGAATGTGAGTTAGAGACAGTTGTGGGTTCTGGGAACTTGTCCTCTGCAAGCACAGCAAGTGCTCTTAACCACTGAGCCATCCAGCCACCCAACTACATTCTTTAAGTATTATAAATACATATAGAAAAAGCCTCAACTGCTGTGAAGTGGAGGGGTCAATAGAGTCTGTACCATCCACAGATCCTGAAGGGGATTGTAAGTCTTTCAGGGGATGGGTATCTGGTCACTTTAGGAGACAGGATGCTATACCTCCACTGGAGGCCACTATCTTGCCAATCTGCAGGTGGTGTCTCTGGCTTGGAGATCTAGAGCTTCAATAATGTTGAAATTGCCAGGTGTGGTGGCGCACACCTTTAACCCTAGCACTCAGGAGGCAGAGGCAGGCAGATCTTTGAGTTCAAGTCTAGCCTGGTCTACAGAGCCAGCCAGGGCTACACGGAGAAACCCTGTCTCAAACAAACAAATATGAATGGACTCTCTATGGTTGCTGATCGACACCCCCCCCCCCCCTCCGCACGCTTCATCTGGAACATGAGTCTTCAACCCCTACCCTGAGGTCAGATCAGATCTGTACTGAGAGCCCCTTCCTGCTCTTGGGTTAAAGCAGGGCAACTTTACAGAACTAGCAAATCACTGAAGTCAGCCCAGCTGACTAGCTATCCATCAATGAAACATCTTTATCTGGGGAACTGGAAGAAGAAATTGAGACAGTGTCAGACATGTAGGGGGGCCAGGTAGATGAGTTCTCAGACGATATACTTTCCAAGGTCAACCAAGAGCAGAAACTAGAATAGTATCCCCTGGTCAACATCTGACCAGCAGAGATTCTACAAAGGGTTCGTCAGTTCCTCTGGGGCATAGGGCCCTGGGTACGACTATTTGTCTGTCCTTCCATCCACCCATCTGCTTATCTTCCCCACACTGCCTGCTGAGGCCTAGCCAGAAACAAGCCCTATCTTTGGCACAAGGCCACACGCTAAGATGAATCAGATTGGACCTACTGGAGTCCGTGGGTGGAAGACAGAAGACATACCAGGAGGAGGGCACAGCAAGGACCAGGGCTGGAGGGTGGGGAAATGGTGGGCCAAGGCAGGTATTCAGGTACCTTGACAAGAAAGGGGAGGGCCTAAATGCCCAGCAGGTGCATGGATGGCTATGGAGAGGCAAAGACAGGAGGCACCAACAGCAGACTTTAGAAACACAGGCAGAAAGTCCCTGAAGGAAGGAAGCTACAGAGAATAAGAGGGAGGCTGGGAGGCAGGACTTCATACTTGATTCTACCATAATGTCTTCAGTGGGTCTAGCTTCCTCCCAGGTCACTGGTTGATGCCTTCCTACTTCTACTTCAGGGCTCTAATTGCCCTTGGGCCAAGGGTTTGAGGACTGCCAACCCTGTGCCTATCCCTCACATCTACTCCAAGGTGCCTAGACCTTCATATCCTCAGGATCCCCTTGTCCTCATAGGATCTGAAATGAGACACACTGAGAATAAATCCCTGGTGCTCTAGCTAGATGACCTTGGGTGAGTCATCCCACCTATCCCTACCTCAGTCGCCTGCTCTGTTACATAGCAGCAGTGTAAGCACTGTGGCTTGTAGAGGTGTCTGTATCGCAGGAAGGACCTAAACTTGACACAGCCCCCACCACAGCATCTGGAAAACAGGTCCAAGCTTCAGTTCTGGACACTTGCTGGTCAGTGCGACATTCTTTTCCACTCCAGGGGATTTGGGGGGCCAAACCCCAGGCGTTGACTGCTCAGGGACAAGCCTGGGGTAGAGGACGCAACGTGAAGTCCTGTAGTCCTCAGCATGGATGGTATCTCCTTTCCGAGAGTTCATACACGTGCTGGCAGTAAGGAAAGAGGGTGGTGGGGACTCAGCCGATAAGAAATGAGGAATAGGCTTATCTCTTCTTGACCTCCTACCTCGACTTGGGACTTCACCGGCCAGCGGGCGGGTGGGGGCAGGGCAGGACCAGCCTCTCCAGCATTGTTGGGGGGTGGGGGGCGGGTCCCTGGGGAACCGCTCCTCCCGCCTGCCGCCACTTTAAGAGGCTGCTGCACCGCAGCAAGCGGGGCCGGAGCCACAGACTGAGCGAGCGGACGGAGCGGATCCGGCAGGTACACCGCCGCGGGGACAGCAGCGGCATGACCGGCCACCACTGTTGGGGCTACGGCCAGGACGACGGTAGGCGCAGACCCCTGGTTCTCATCCAGCTGGGCTCGCTGCAACCCGCGCTTCCGACCAGGTTTTCGGAACCCTCAAGCCCCACGCTCCAGAACCCACCCGGACCTCTCTCTTACACAGTTCCCCAGAACCCGACCCCTGCCTTGCTTCCTCTGACCTGGCGCAAAGTCCACGCTGCGCCCCGAGCCCGCCAGCGAACCACTGGATTGCTGAGCGCGCCCTGCCGCCGCCTCCGCGCAGCGCGGGACTGCAGCGCTGGCTCCCACCCGGCCCCACACTCTCTCTCCCCCGGCGTGCGCAGCGTTTGCAGGTGGCTCAGGGCGACGGGGGCGGGGGTGGTGGTGGCCGCGTCGCAGCGCTATGCGCGGGTGTCATTGCGGGGAGCGCGCACAGCGGGTATGCAGGGACCTCCCGGGAACTGGGCTCTATGTCCCCGCGAGAGAGTTTCCACTGGAGTGTCCGAGCTGCGGTGCAGGCTGGTACGCGAGGAAAGAGGGAGGGCACTTGGGGACACACGGGAACGTCTGGGTGTCTATACCGGGTAGAGTGTTTCAGCGCGTCTTAAATGAGTGAGGCCACGGGTACTGGGTCTAGCCAGGAGGACCGCTCCTCCATTCTGCCTCAGTTTCCTTAGCATGAAGAGGGAGGATGGAAGAGGCTAGTGAGCCAGACAGTTTGAGTGTGGGTCTGGGGCAGGTCAGCTCCCTTTGGGTGTGTTTCCTGCCAAAAAGAGATAGGGTGTGGGGCAAGCAAAGGCTTCTCCATTTCCCAGAGAAGGCTGATCACCCAGGATCGTGGCTGTCAGGAAGGGAACCCAGGCAGGGCAAGTGGAGCCGGGAGCAAGTGCTGGAGGGGGTACTATTCCTCCGGCTCCACTTTTTCCAGGGATAGTCACTTTGTGAGAGAAAGCGAACGTCCTGGACGTTCTGGGATAGGAAGTTGCAACTGACCAGAGGGAATCCCGTAGTTGCTGCCGTTTTGTCCTCTTTGGGACCCCCCAAAAACAACGGATCATGTTTTGGCAGGGGGACCTCAGATTTGGACATACTAGACTGGACAGAGACATTCAGGGTAAAAGAAGGTGACAGAGACAGGCAGAGATGGAGAGAGAGGCGGAGAAAAGCCAGGTTGATAAAAGACCATCTTCTCCCCTGCATGCATTGGATCTGCTTTTAAGTGCCCTCCCCCCACCACCACCCCCGTAGTCCCAGTGCCCTGTTCCTAACCTTCCTGCTAGCCCTGTCCTCTAGCTCTGTGCCTCGAGCATCCTGAACAGCTTGCTTTCTTCACGTACCTACCCCTCACCCAGTCAGACCTGGGCGGTCCAGCTCAGGGGAGGGAAGGACAGAGGACAGAGGTGCCCAAATGCGGCAGCGCTCACAGGGCTTCAAAAATAACCCAGTAGGGCTGGGCTACCATTCTGAGTCATCCATTGGGGACACAGCTCTGTCGGCACCTGCTGCTGTTTTCTCGGGAAAACTTAAGAAGCCAAAAAGGGGGAGAAGCACCAGCCGGCAGTAGCTCTAAAAATAGGCTGCATCTCAGGATGTTCCCCAGGGAGATGCTGAGCCTCCCCACTGCAGATGGAGCCTCTGGGAGGCAGGTGGTGGGTGCCTGTGGGTGTGCATGCAGGTGTGTGTGTGTGTGTGTGTGTGTGTGTGTGTGTGTGTGTGTGCACTCTTGGGTGTATGTGTGCATGGGTATGTGTTCCGCTGTGGTCCTTTCATTGGGATTCCAATAGGAGGTGTTTATGTATGAGGATGCATATATGTATGTGTCAGATATAATCAGCAGGACTGGTGGGCAGGGAGAGCTCGGACCTTCCTGATCTGGTGAGTTCAGGTCACTGCATATTTCATGCATACATGCATGTACATAGGAGGATCTACATGGACCTCTCAGCACATGTTTGGGGAAGGCAGGAAGAGGCAGTCCATGCATATACTACGTGTTTCTACCAGTGCATGTGTGCATGTGTGAGCATGCATGACTGACCCTCAGTTTCTCATCTATGGCATGAGCATCATGTCATAAAGTTGTGGTTGTAAGGAGAAAACATGTCACCTACGGAAAGCCAGGTTGATCTGAATTTTTCTTCCAAGTGCCAAGTTTGCACTAAGTTCCTCAGGGTACAGGAAGAGGCTAAATTCCTGATCGGGTCGGGTAGAGTAGAGTGGCTTCAGATGCCCAAGGGCCTCCCGGAGTGTTTGCTGGGGGTTGGGTGGATTTACTATCTGGAACTACCTCTGGGTTGTGGTTGTGCCCTACAGTGCATCTCTGGGCTCCTATCAGTGCCAGGGAAAGGAATGGGAGGGATTTGGAGGCTGATTCCCAGACAAGGAAAAGCAAAGTGAATCAAGAAGTGGCAGAGACAGGATTAGAACTCAGGGCTTGTGTCCCTCCCCACCCCCAGAGCGACCCTCAGCCCACAGCTTGCCTGGCCTGAGTCCATGACCCTTCCCTACCTACCTATAGGCCCTTCAAGCTGGCACAAGCTGTATCCCATTGCCCAGGGAGATCGTCAGTCACCCATCAACATCGTATCCAGCCAGGCTGTATATTCGCCCAGCCTGCAGCCACTGGAGCTTTTCTACGAGGCCTGCATGTCCCTCAGCATCACCAACAATGGCCACTCTGTCCAGGTGGACTTCAATGACAGCGATGACAAAACTGGTAAGTGGTCTCGTCCCCTTCACGCCCTCACCAGGGGTGGGGCAATCTTAGGAGGGGCAGTTTGCTATGGTAGGGAATCTAAACTTTACCTCTTACCTGCTGTGGTGAAGCCCAGAGCTCAGTCCCAGTCTCTCATTGCATAAAATGGAGCAATAGTATTCTCTAGGGTCATAGAGGGGGCAGTGAAAATCCCCCGATGTGATGATTGTAGTTCTGCATAAAACAGATGCTCAAGAAATGTTAACTCCCTTCCTCTCCTTCCTCTCCGAGCTCCAAATCATGTTTGTTTTTACTCCCAGCCTCTCACTGACCTGCTTGTGGCCTAGGGCCAAGCCCTCTTCCTTGTGATCAGGCCAGGCTCCCAAAGGAAGAGGAGGGGATTGAGGTGTTCTGTGTGTCAGGCTACATGCTAGAACTCAGGCAGCCTCAGACGGGTGGTGGTGGTGCACGCCTTTAATCTCAGTCCTTGGGAGACAGAGGCAGGCAGATCTCTGAGTTTGAGACCAGCTTGGTCCACTACAGAGCGAGTTTCAGGACAGCCAGGGCTACATGGAGAAACCCCATCTCAAATAAAAACAAAAAAAGAAAGAATGAATGAATTCAGGTCTCTTCTCATTATTTAGTCTTACCAAGAACCCATTGCCATAGCTGAGGCTCAGTGGTAAGAGCATTTACCCAGCATGCACAACACTTCTGGGGCTGGGGGATACAGCTCAGTTGGTACAGTGCTTGCCTAGAATGCACAAGGCCCTGGGTTTGAACCCCTGCATCTCAGTGGTACACACTTGTCATACTAGAACTCTGGAGCTGGAGGCAGGAGGATAGAAGTTCAAGGTTATCCTTGGCTACATAGTGAGTTCAAGGTCAGCCTGGGCTAGTGACCCAGTCTAAAACACCCCTCACCCCCATCAGATGGGTTATGGAATGCTTAGTAAGCCTCTGTCCTTGCTTCAGAAGGGAGAAAGCCTAGGAGACCTCCAGGAGCAGAAGGCAAAGAACCCCTTCATATCAACCCTAGAAACAGCCTCACACAGAGTCCCTGGCACAGGGCAAGGGGTCAAGATGACCATTTATGGAGAAGCAGTTTGTAGTCCAGATCATACCTGCTCCAGCTTCATAGGTCTGTCCAACTCATCCATGACCCTCGAGGTCCTCACCATCATGGGCCAGAGTGAGGCCTGCAGGAAATTGTGCCAGTGCCTTCCTAGGCCTCTTTGCCTTAGGACTAGAGTCCAATATTTCAAGATAAGTTCCCTGGCAGAGGCCTTAAGAGTATTTTGTAGTGAAGAAATTTTGTTCTCATCCCAAGGTCTCTGAGGGAGAGAGTGGGGTAAGAAGAGAACCTGTTAGGGTTTTTTTTTAATATAAGAAAATATTGGTTTGTTTTGTTTTGTTTTGTTTTACTTCTCCCTACCCCCTACTCAATGAAAGCACTCAAGAGACTTTATCTGTCAAAGAGAACATCAAGAGAAAAGAAAGCCCCACCTTTCATAGAAAGAGAGACATTAGTTGCTTAGCTCTAAGTTCCTTGGGAGGACAGTAAAAAAAAAAAGAAAGAAAGAAAGAAAGAAATAGACTCAGCTATAGTTTTTCCTGCAGAAGTAAGCCTAGCAGGGCCTTAGAAAAGGGAGACAATATATTACCTTGTTTTGAACTCTAAGAAAAGTCTTTTATCCAGAGCCTTAGAAAGGCAGCATGGGACCCTAGATGACCCTGGATGACAGTTTATGGAGGAGCAGTTTTCATGGCTGTCCCTTTGAACAGCCTTCAAAGGTTCAACTCAAACATGCCTCTTTGCCTTAGGACCAGAGTCCAGGTTTCAGAGATAAATTCCTAGGTAGAGACCGTAGGCAACAGTCTTTAGTGAGTATTTGTAGAACTGTCTGAAGGCTCACATAAGAGGCCTAGCTGGGGCTCCACTTCCCTGTCAGGCCTAAGGAGCCAGGGAGCCAGTGGAAAGAGGAAGACAGATGGGACTCGGCCACCACCCGTTGTAGGTTACTCTGGAGGTCAAGTAGGCTGATATCCACAGAGCACCAAAATACATAGAGAGTCCAGAGTGAACAGGGTATCTGTAACTAGATAGAGTGAGAAGGAGATGCCCCTCTGGCACCGTCCTGTAGGGTTCTAGGAGAGGAGCACTACAGATGGACCCAGAAGTCTCCCAACCACAGACAGCCTAGGATTTTGTGGAGAGCCACCCAGCCCTGACTCTTTTTTTTTTCAACCTGTACTACGGCCCTAGACGGCCTGTTTCTGAAACAAGGCAGGGCAGCAGAGATGGGCCTCTGGATCTTGTCCTGATCACCCATCATGAAGGGGCCTGGTAGAACTCTGAGCTTAGAGCTGTCACTTGATCTAGGAGCTCACATTCAGGCCTAGCTAGGGCCTCTCCACCAACAGATCTCTTTTCAGCTGGAAATTCTATCAGTCTCAAGAGGCCTTCTGGGTAGCCCTAGATCACCAGCTACCAAGGTGAGAACGTCACAAAATCAGCATGGCTGGGGCCCTCCAAAGAGGCCATTTGTACGGGGGATGGCCCTGGAAGGGGCTGGCCTCCTGTCCCAAGGCAATACCATGATCTGGCAAGGGTCCAGCTTGCGGGGAAGCCATGCGACCTGGTTTGTGGTCAGGAGTTTGGGACCAGAAGCTATGGGCTTGTACTGTAGCTCAGCACCTCGCTTTGTAATCTTGCCCCATTTTCCTTCTTTATGAAATAGGACCTGCCAGGCACAGTGACATTCTCCTTGAATGCCAGTATTCAGAGGCAGAGGCAAGCTGATTTCTGTGAGTTCAAAGCCAGTCTACTCTACATAGTGAGTTATAGGCCAGCCGAAGCTGCACAGTGAGACCTTGTCTCAAAAAAATAAAGTAAATAAATAAATAGTAAAAGTAAGATAAAATTCATCCAAAAATAAATTCTGTCCCTCCTGAGCTACTAAGATAGCAGACAAAATAATTGTTCCAACGCAACCTTGGGTCTGGGCCCCAGACAAGGGAGGCCTATTGTTAGTGGGAACAAAGAATCTGAGAGGCAGGAGCCCAGGCTACAGGAAATCTGGCAGGAGCTGGGAGGAGAGACCAGTGCAAATCCCCCTTCTATCAGAACAGCTACCCAGTAGGTTGTCATGCCTTCTGCCTTGACCCAGACTGGGGGTCAGACTGTAGGAATTGGTGGGACAGACCCGTGTCCTATCCAGCAGGTTTTCCACATGAAAACTATAGCCCCTAACCAGGCTTGGTGGTATAGGCCTGTAACCTTAGCTACTCTGGAGGCTGAGGCAGGACAATAATAAGTTCAAATTGAGCCTAGAAACTTATCAAGACTCTACGTCAAAATAAAAAAAGTCCAAAAAGGGTCAGAGATATAGCTCAGTGGTAGAGTGTTTGCCTAGCATATTTGAGGCCCTAGGTTCAATCTCCAACATGGTCAAAATAGATAAAGTATGGAGCCCTTGGTTGGAGATGTAGCTCATCCATAAAGTGCTTGTCTAACATGCATAAAGCCCTGAGTTTGATCCTCAACGTCATACACACACACACACACACACACACACACACACACACACACACACACACACACAAAATCCCTATGTGGACTGCCTGGGTCCTGGCACTACCACTCACCAAGTTGAGTGCTCTCCTATATGGACTGCCACATCCCACTTCTACCCACAGTGGTGACTGGGGGACCCCTGGAAGGGCCCTATCGTCTCAAGCAACTCCACTTCCATTGGGGCAAGAAGCATGATGTGGGCTCAGAGCACACGGTGGATGGCAAGTCCTTCCCCAGTGAGGTGAGGTCTTTTTTGCTGCATCTCTCTGCTACCTGAGGAAGGGGGGTGTATGGGACAGTGTGGGGCTCAAGGATGCCTGGAGCAAGGGCTCTGGAAAGCATGTGTAAGTGCACCTCTGGCTTTTGGGAGAGACCCCCTTTCCATCTGCATGCTGTCCACACTCCTGAACACATCTTGGAGTTTTAGGAAGGAACCAGACTAGGATGGATGCTACCTTTGTTCTCTGGGGCTCCCTAGGATCCTGAGATTAGGAGGCTTGCAGCCCCACCTCTTTCAGAGGGAGCAAGGGGAGACTGATTTCATGCCTCTGCTGCTTCTGGAGGCGCTCAGCCCTGGCCTGGCCTGGCTTGTTTTTGCCTCTCCAGCTACATCTGGTTCACTGGAATGCCAAGAAGTACAGCACTTTTGGGGAGGCAGCTGCAGCCCCTGATGGCCTGGCTGTGGTTGGTGTCTTCCTGGAGGTAGGTGGTGGATTCCCAGGGCAGGGAAGGGTATAGGAGGCTCATGTGCCCTTAGTTTTAGAATGAAGGCATTGGAGGCTCATACTGTCTTCTCCCTGACAGACAGGAGATGAGCACCCCAGCATGAACCGCCTGACAGATGCACTCTACATGGTTCGGTTTAAGGTGAGACCAGGGGTTGCTGTTCTTTTCTAGAGCGGCCAGCTGGGGAGAGAGGATGGGTGAGGCTGGCTCGTGGAGTGGCCCATTCACTTTTGCATTCTGGCAGCACCTCTGGCTGAGACCCAGGATGAGGGTCTTCTTCACCACCCATGGGTGCCTAGCATACAACCTGGTAGGGTATGTATAAAGTACTGATCATATGGATGGTGGTCTGCTGCATAGCCCCAGCGAGGGCATCCAAAGGCATGGGTATGAAAATGATGACTAGAGAGCCCCCAAAGCCACAGCTTTTACATGTAAGCAAACAAGAGGGCCTGGCCCTGGCTGGGAGGTGGCATTTGGGGTCACAGATATTTGCCCACAATTTGCATCATCATGTCAAGGACAGGCCCAAATCCTGCTGACAGCAACAAGCAAGGAAGCTGCTGGACTGACCTCGGTAGGAGCTCTGTGTTAATTCCTGGGTTCCCATCCTGCCCAGGATACCAAGGCTCAGTTCAACTACTTCAACCCCAAGTGCCTCCTGCCCACCAGCCGGCACTACTGGACCTATCCTGGCTCTCTGACCACACCCCCGCTCAGCGAGAGTGTTACTTGGATTGTGCTCCGGGAGCCCATCAGAATTTCTGAGAGGCAGGTGAGTTCTCCCAGAGTTCCAGGAGTAAGAGCAATCAGATTTCAGCCATGGCAGGGTAACTTCCAACCACCAGGATGTGGTCTGGGCCCTCCCATTTGACTCCCATCTTTGACTACCAAACCAAAGATTCGTTGATTGATGTAAGCTCGGTTGCTAGTCCTGAGGTCCCCGCCATGGCGAGAAGGGAAGAGGCCTGATCCTGGGATCACTCTTAGTGTGTTGCAGTCAGGAAGTTGCAATTGCCCAAATGCTTCAGCTAGACAGGACTGGAACTAGCCTTCTAGTTCCATGTTCAGGGGCCCATTGGAAACAGACAACTGAGGGTAGGGAGAGTGAAGCCACACAGGAGAAACAGAAGGGTAGAGCTCCCTGAGCAGCATCTGGGACTATAGAGGAAAAGAGCACCCATCCCTGCCCTGACCATCCTTTTTGTCTTAAGATGGAGAAATTTCGGAGCTTGCTTTTCACCTCAGAGGATGATGAGAGGATCCACATGGTGAACAACTTCCGGCCACCCCAGCCGCTGAAGGGCCGAGTGGTCAAAGCATCCTTCCAGGCCTGAGCTTCCCACCTGCCCAGCCAGCCACTGGGGCACCATCTTCCCAAGGGCTTCCATGTCAGCGGACACCAAACCATCTGAGGCTCACTCCCTGAGGGTGCTCTGGGCCCTCCTTCAGCTGGCTCGCTCCTTAGCCACATTGGAGGGCTCTTGATGAGACTCTTGAGTTGGGGGTACCCTTCTGCTGCTCTGGGGGCTGAAAGAACAGGAACTGAGCAGGGGTCCAAGCCTGGGCCGCCTCTGCTCCCCAAGACCCAAAGACCCCTGGGAACATCCTCTTGTCTTCCCTGCTGGCTGTGTCGGCAGCCCCAACTGGAGCTCACACTGTGATGGCCAAGACACAGCTCCCTGGGGTAGCAGCTGTCTCTGCCATAAAGACTCAAGCAATAATTAGAGGTGGGCAGAGCTGCCCACTCTGCATTACCTCTTTTGCAGGCCTCTGCCATACATGCACCTCACTGCCAGGCCATTGAAACAGCACCCAGATGCTGGAGGTGATGTGGCCTCCTCCAGCCACCTGCTGCCACGGGCAGGCCCTGGCTATATAGCTTATATACTATCTCCCTTTGTCCTTACCCAGCCACCAAAGCCACCTACATAACAACCCATTCATGTACTAACAAATAAATTCATTTATTCATGGAACGAAGTCCACCTGAGTATCTATGTTCTGTCCAGTGCTGCTCTGGGCTGTGGGAAGCCAATGGTAGCGAATCAAGGAGGGACTGGCCCTGAGCAGTAGCTGTGGGAGCAGAAGGAAGGAGAGGCTCTCTCTTTGGGTGAAGAAATGTAATTCTAGCCAGTGTTCCAAGGCAGAAAGGAGGGATAGCATGGTTGAGGTAGAGGACAGGGCAGGTGTGAAGTTCCCAGGTGAGAGCCTAATGTGACTGTAGGGCTGATCCATAGGGCAAGGGTTTGCGGGGAGGGAGGGTCTGAATTACGGAGGAGCCATCAGCAGCGACAGGTGTACAAATGGAACAGATTCCCATAGCGTGAGGGGAAGAAGTAGTGGCCAGTAGCAAGGAGAAAGAGAACAGCAGAGGACAGGTGAGAAAGAAGAGATCAGAGAATGCCCCCCAGAGAATGTCCCCAGAGGGTGGGACAGAATCCTAAGAGAAACTGATTGTGTTAGTTGCCCATATTTGCCAGGCCTGGAAGGAAAATTTAAGGTGGCACAAAATCTAGGCCTAAACTTTGTATTTTCCAAAACCTAAAAATGAGTGTCCCCTTAAATTCACACCAGAAGTACTTCCTTCTCTTCCAGTCCCAGACCAGGGAGTTCCTGTGGCTGCTCACATTGGGGTTTAGAGTCTCAGTGAGCATTGTGACCCACTGAGGCAGCTGGACAGGCAGCAGACAGTGGAAGGACCGAGGAATGAAGGGCTGGGGACACGGGATAGTGACCCGTGCAGCAAAAGTGCATGTTTGGCCATAGGTAGGGAGGGACAGCTGGGGGGCACCTTGGGGAGAAGGATACTGCCTGAGAGCAGGGTTGGCAGGGGCTGATGGCAGGGCACCTGTTCTCGACATCCCTAGCTCCCGTCACTTTCATTATACTAGACAGGTACTTCTGGTCCCAGGGTACCTCTGGGCCTGGGGCCTCTAACTTTGAGTTCTGGAAGGCTAGAAGGGAGCTTGCCAGGCTTGGTGGGGTAGTCGAGGAGTCCCAGCAACTTGGGAGGATGAAGCAGAACAGTGAGTTCAAGATCTGCCTGGACGGCAGACTCAGAGGCAGTCTGGCAACCCAGGAGACTGTCTCAAAATAGAAAGCAAAAGGAGGAGAGAGGGCCCCCAGGTACCATGCCTCTCTGAGGAGCTATAGGCAGTTGTTGGCTGGTGAGAGAGGGAGTCACTTTTCTTTGGGGATGTGGTTACTGATAGGTTGCTTATGATCCAGTGATGGCTCTACATCCAGTCTCACGTGGTCAACATTAATGGGACTTGGTGGGTTATTAATAAAAGTGACATGAAGTTGGGAGTGGGATGGACTGGTGGGTCCCAGGAGGAACTGGAGGGAGGTAGTAGGAGGTGGATAAGATCAAAATACATTGTATACGTGTATGACATTTCCAGAGAATAAATAAAAAATAAAAGTAAAAACAGGGCTGGAGGTGTAGCTTAGATAGAGCACTTACCTAGCGTGCAGGAGGCCCTAGGGTCAGTCCACAATACTATAAAAAGAAAGAGAAGGAGAGAGGGGAAGAAGACAGGGAGAAAGGGAGGGACAGAGAGCAGAAAGAAAAAGAAGAGTGGAGTTGACTCTGTTGCATCTCCTCTTCCCAAGCTCAGGGCACATCTGCCTCCGGCGGGGGCAGGGGTGGGAGGACAGGAAAGAGGGGGGCCCTCAGTAGTCACTGCCTGACACAGGGCCAGGGACAGCTGTGCCCTCGACTTCAGGTTGGCTTCTTTCTCCGGGTTTCAGGAGCAAAGGGCGTGTATGTGGGTGCCTGGAGGCACCTTTTCCCCAGTTAGGAGCAGGTGGCTTTGGCAAAGGGGAAGTAAGCTAATAATATGAACTGTAAGAAAGGGCCTGGAGCACAGGTCCAGCCCCCTCCCTACTGTCTGAGAATTACCATTACCCTCATTTTATCGACGAGGTTATGAAGACAGTAGCAGAGCACTGGAGATCTGTCTGACCTCTCTTGCTATACACCAGGGCATCTGGATGTAAGGAGGCATGACGGTGGCCTTCTGGAAGTGGCAGGATAGCTGAATTCTGATGGGTGTGCCTGAGACCTTGTCCAGCCCTTCTGGGGATTGTGGCTTGGCACTCTGAAGAACTTGGAAAATTGGAGCTGGTTTTGTAATTATACCAAGGCTGCCAAGAATTCTCACTCCACGAGTCCTTTCTCTTAATTCATTTTTCAAATTTAAAACTATTAAAAAAACGCAATGTGGCCTCCTTATGTTATAATCACAGCCTAAAATCTGACCCTTTTATATCCAAATGGGATGGCCCAGCTGGATCCCAAACGCCTCCAGCGACCTATTACTAGGTCTTGACTCTTCATCCAGAATAAGATCCTTGGTGCATTTCAAGGATACAAGATAGGTTCTGCTTGCTCACAAGAGCCAGAGAAGCCTTTCCTGGATGGTCAGGGTGGGCCTCAGAGACGCAGGCCCATATAGGGCACAGGCATAATTGAATCTGTGTCCAGACTAGGGCCACAGGTTTCCCTCCCTAATATCTCATAGAGGAACCAAGTCCATGACCCCAAAGCAGGTATACAGACATGAAGCTAACATCTCCTGGAGCTCTTGTTACAAAGAACTTTCTCCCAGTGTCATGGTTTCTACTACAGCTGCTGCTGCAGAAACCTGGGACTATTCCCTGTGGACTAAGCTGGCCATGGATCCGCACCCCCTAGGATGCTCCTGTCAGGTGAGGTGGCGAGAAACCTGGAAGGGACCAGAGCTGGTTGCCGAGTTGGTAGGGGCTGAAGTAGCAGAGGCCCTTCAGTTGTAGCTGGAGTTGGCCAAGGACAGAAAGGAAGGTCAGACAACAAAACCTGGACATCTTGGGGACCTTGTAACACCCATGGGTCTCAGCACCAACTCTGAGGCTGCCCTCAAACACAGAATGTACTACTGACTGTCACAAGTCAGGGAGAAGGGGAGCAGGGTGACTCTGAGCATGAAACATTCTGGCACAGCAGGGCTTGGGGAGGGCTTGGGGAGGGCATTTGTCGTTTGGGGGCACAAACCCTAGGGCAGACATTGTAGAACATGTCGCTCAAGCTCTCTGAAGCTTGTTTCCTCCTCTGTAAAATTGAAATGACATAATGTGAGCCACATCTGTAGTTTCAAATTTTCCTATAACTACATAAAAATGTAACCGGAAATGATCTTTTGTTTCAGTGCAGGATATTGAACCTAGTAATTCAAGCATGCTAATCACATGTCAAACAAGTCATTTTAATAATAAAGTTTGGAGTTGGAGGTGTAGGTCAGTAGCAGAACAATTGCCCATTTACCTACAGCCCTGGGTTTAATTCTCCCCACTGCAACGAGAATACAAATATAGTTTATCTTAACTTGAACTAAATCCCAAACAGACCCATTTTTATGTATCATCAACATAAACTATTATTGAGATGCCTCACATTATTTTCTGTACTAACCTTTGGAATCTGGTGTGTTTTACACTTCTGGACTTTCTCGATTCGAAGGAGCTGTGTTTCAAGCGCTCAAGAGCCACACAAGTGGCCACCAGTGGGGACTGTATTAGATGGTGCAGTCCTAAACGTGTCACTCACTCATCACAGGGTTATCTGCTGGCACAGTTTCTGGGAAGACTCTCTAGGCCTGCAACCAGACAAAGTGGCAGCAGGAAGGAATCAGACCTGCTCTGGGGTTTTGTCCTCTTCCCAAGAGCAGCCTTTTGCCATTTACTGTCAAGTTGTCTCCCGTGCCAGGCCTGCCTCATCTAGGAAACATCTCCATCCCCCTGTTTTGCTCCAGCCTTGCTGGCCCTGCCTTAGGACCTGGCAGAAAGTTTGCTTGTTCCCCAGCGGAAAGATCAAGATTTGGCAAGGAGATGAGTACACATGGCTGCTGGGGACTGGTGGGGTGGCAGTGTCCCCGAGAAAGATCCTGCCTGGGCTGAGAAAACTTGATCAGCCTGGGAAGATTTCCTGGAGCAGGGACCAAGGGCAAAGCAGCTAGCGTCATTGCCAAGGGACGGAAGCCTCCGTGGTGGGGAGCGAGCAGCAGCACCCCATGCAGCAGCAGAGCAGCCGGAGCTCTTGCCCACAGCATGGGTTCACTAAGAGGAGGTCTGGGGTTGGGGCAAGGCTCAGAGACTCTCAGGCGTTGGGGACTACTAATGCCAAGTAGAGGTTCTCCTTTCGGGCTGAGGATCATAGGAGCCCCAGGAGTCTAAGAATGGTCAAAGACTGCTTGCTGGCTTGAAGGACAAGAGCCCTTCCCTAGGTTCAGGAAGTACTGGTCATCACCTGGCACATAATTCACTATCTAAACAAGCAACTTCGGGGCAATCATATCAGGTACCATCACTGACCCTTTACAGACCCCCTTCAACCTGTGGGATGGACTTCGAGCCTGAGCCTGGCAGCAAATGAGTCTAAATCTCCCTAGCTGTACCTCGGGTGTTTTTGTCTTGAGGGTTGTGGGAGGGTAAGTGGGTGGCTACTTTTCTCTTAACTCCACTCTTGTGACAGGCATTGTGAGGACCACCTAGGACCAGTGAGCTCCGGGGTCTTTCAGGTTTTCATGGAGGACTTAGGGTCCTCCTGCTCTTCTCCCTCAGTTTCTACTCCAAACTACAAGTTCTTGGTGGTGCTGCGCATGTGTGGCCCTGGAGGGCCTCCTACCTTGTCTCTACTTACCAAGGCCCCTGGCCAAGTGGGGAGTGAGACCTTGCTACCACTGCTGCGGAAGTCCAGGAGTGAAGTTTGGGGGTATAACTCCTTTAGCCAGAGGAAGCCGTGAGCATCCAAGTTGACACCATTAGACAGACATAACAATGGAGGCCACAAAGGGACAAAACCTGCTGGAGTGAGCAGGAGGGAGAGCTGAGATTTAGGACTTCTAGGCTAATTCTCTTCACTCTATCAGGAGGGTCTTCTGTTTCAGAAAGACCCACGTCCCCACACAACTTCCTGCTTGCTTGCCATGGTGCCCAAAATC